TTGCTTCAGAATATGTATTTTTATTTCACATTTGCTTTTGTTAACAGTTGGGTTTATGGAAGGTTTATGCATGTGGTATGTTATTTTAGAGCATTAATCTGAGCACCAGCCTGCACAGTGGAAACAAGGCATGATGGATCCATGTTCTCATTCTGTTTACGCCAAATTCTGACTAATGTCTCAACAGAAATCGAGACTCATCAGACCAGGCAACATTTTTCCAGTCTTCAACGGTCCAATTTTGGTGAGCTCTTGCCTCTTTTTCCTATTTGTAGTGGAGATGAGTGGTACCCGGTGGGGTCTTCTGCTGTTGTAGCCCATCCGCCTCAAGGTTGTGTGTGTTGTGGCTTCTTCACAAATGCTTTGCTGCATACCTCGGTTGTAACGAGTGGTTATTTCAGTCAAAGTTGCTCTTCTATCAGCTTGAATCAGTCGGCCCATTCTCCTCTGACCTCTAGCATCAACAAGGCATTTTCTCCCACAGGACTGCCGCATACTGGATGTTTTTCCCTTCTCACAGCATTCTTTGTAAACCCTAGAAGTGGTTATGTGGGAAAATCCCAGTAACTGAGCAAATTGTGAAATACTAAGCCACCAACAACCATGCCATGCACAAAATTGCTTAAATCACCTTTCTTTCCCATTCTGACGTTCAGTTTGGAGTTCAGGAGATTGTCTTGACCAGGACCACACCTCTAAATGCATTGAAGCAACTGCCATGTGATTGGTTGATTAGATAATTTCACTAATGAGAAATTGAACTGGTGTTCCTAATAATCCTTTAGGTGAGTGTATATTCCCACTCACTTTTTTTTAGCACACCAGGGTCACTAGAAACATGACATTGTCTAGTTATGACTTCTTGTTTCACAGGAGTTTAAATATGAGGAAACACATAGGCCAAATTCCACAGATTATAGTTCTGATGTGCATCAAAAGATTGTTGAGCTTCACAAAATAGAACGAAGTGGTTGTAAGAAAATGGCTAAAGAATTTAAAATCCCCATTTTGACCTTCAAGGCAATAATCAAGAATTTCCAATCAACTAAAGATGTGACAAATCTGCCAGGAAGAGAAGAATGCGCGGTGAGGAGAATTTAAGTGGACTCTCAAAGACTCTTCAAGGATCACAGATGGAGAATTGCAGAGATTAGTTGAGTCTTCAAACGGCACAGGGATGAAACCTTAGATAAAACATTCATTTAGATTTTTAATTAATGGTAATAATAACCCTGTAATAAGAATTCCTTTAATACCAATGTACCACAATGTAAATCATGAAAGCTGAACATGAAATGTTCAGCAGGCAAGACTGATATTGTTGAGCACGGGCCAGGAACTGATATGATTTCCCATTTCTTATTTCACGTCGTGGCAATAGTCACTGGCACACATTCAAGCGATGTCGGTTGGCCTGTATCAGCTTTGCATTGCAGTGGCTTGTTTCCAGGTTTGAGCCTCTCAGCTGAAAGCCCCTGACAGTCACAGGCCTCGGGGTCCCGTTGGCCCCACTGAACCGCTCTATAACTCATCTTCAGAGACGTGCACAGATCAGATTTCCCCCATCTTCCACTGCAGGCCAACGGGCATTTCCTCTGGAAGAACTGTGAGTATTGCCCTTTGCCCCCAACACGTGCGTATAAGACACAAACTCTTGCGCCCAACAACTGAGAAACAGATTTGTCACATTCTCTAACCAGACAGGAATTTCACAGCTGAACACTCGTGAGACGAGTCGGGCCATCAAGGAATCATCAAAGGCCTCGGACACTGAGTTTTGTGTAATCTACTCGCCAGGATCCTGTTGCATGTTTCACAGTTGGCAGAAACTGACTGAGGAAATGAACAGCCTATATGGACCATTCTTTATTTGCTTTTGGTAAATTAACTTGCTCCGACGTTAACCTTTCTAATTGCTCATGTTGGATGTGTGCTTTGGTCTTAACTTATCATTGGTCATCAGTGGTGGAATGTAACGAAGTACAAATACTTTGTTACTTTACTTAAGTACATTTTTCACGTATCTTTACTTTACTTAAGTAGAATAAATAGCGCATACTTTTTACTTTTACTTCGTTACATTTTGCAGCAATTATTATACTTTCTACTCCACTACATTTCTACAAATTCTGTTACATTTTCTGATCAGTTTTTCCCCTGCCAAAACATAATCTGACCGTCCGTTCGTTGCACGTTTGTCTCACCAGTGACGTTTGGTTGCCATATAGATATATCAACTAAATGCGTCTCGCACGCAGTGTGTTTATCGTGCAATTTATACGTGAAAATTTTTACGTGCATAGAAAACACCGTGTGTAATATACAACCCGAATTCCAGAAAAGTTGGGACGTTTTTTAAATTTGAATAAAATGAAAACTATACGACTTTCAAATCACATGAGCAAATATTTTATTCACAATAGAACATAGATAACATAACAAATGTTTAAACGGAGAAATTGTACACTTTTATCCACTAAATGAGCTCATTTCAAATTTGATGCCTGCTACATGTCTCAAAATAGTTGGGACGGGGACACGTTTACCATGGTGCAACATCTCCTCTTCTTTTCAAAACAGTATGAAGACGTCTGGGCATCGAGTTTATGAGTGTCTGGAGTTTTGGTGTTGGAATTTGGTCCCATTCTTGCCTTATATAGGTTTCCAGCTGCTGAAGTGTTCGTGGTCGCCTTTGACGCATTTTTCGTTTAATGATGCACCAAATGTTCTCTATAGGTGAAAGATCTGGACTGCAGGCAAGGCCAATTCAGAACCCGGACTCTTCTACGACGAAGCCATGCTGTTGTAATATCTGCAGTATGTGGTTTTGCATTGTCCTGCTGAAATACACAAGGCCTTCCCTGAAATAGACGTTGTCTGGAGGGGAGCATATGTTGCTCTAAAACCTTTATATAGCTTTCAGCATTCATAGTGCCTTCCAAAACATGCAAGCTGCCCATACCGTATGCACTTATGCACCCCCATACCATCAGAGATGCTGGCTTTTGAACTGAACGCTGATAACACGATGGAAGGTCTCCCTCTTCTTTTGTCCGGAGGACACGGCGTCCGTGATTTCCAACAAAAATGTCAAATTTGGACTCGTTTGACCATAGAATACTTTTCCACTTTGAAATAGTCCATTTTAAATGAGCCTTGGCCCACAGGACACGACGGCGCTTCTGGACCATGTTCACATATGGCTTCCTTTTTGCATGATAGAGCTTTAGTTGGCATCTGGAGATGGCACGGCGGATTGTGTTTACCGACAGTGGTTTCTGGAAGTATTCCTGGGCCTATTTAGTAATATCATTCACACAATCATGCCGATGAGTGATGCAGTGTAGTCTGAGGGCCCGAAGACCACGGGCATCCAATAAAGGTCTTCGCCTTTGTCCCTTACGCACAGAGATTTCTCCAGTTTCTCTGAATCTTTTGATGATGTTGTGCACTGTAGATGATGAGATTTGCAAAGCCTTTGCAATTTGATGTTGAGGAACACTGTTTTTAAAGTGTTCCACAATCTTTTTACGCACTCTTTCACAGATTGGAGAGCCTCTGCCCATCTTTACTTCTGAGAGACTCTACCTCTCTAAGACATCCCTTTAATCATGTTACAGACCTGATATCAACTTAATTAGTTGCTATAGATGTTCTCCCACCTGAATCCTTTCTAAATTTCTTGCTTTTTCAACCATTTGTTGTCCCCGTCCCAACTATTTTGAGACCTGTAGCAGGCATCAAATTTGAAATGAGCTCATTTAGTGGACTAAAGTGTAAAATTTCTCCATTTAAACATTTGTTATGTTATCTATGTTCTATTGTGAATAAAATATTTGCTCATGTGATTTGAAAGTCGTATAGTTTTCATTTTATTCAAATTTAAAAAACGTCCCAACTTTTCTGGAATTCGGGTTGTACGTTTGGTTAAGATAATGGCAAGCCAAGAGGTTCAGAATTACACCATAAATTAATCGTGCTTACTGCCAAACATAGTTATTAACATATAAGTTAGTAAGGATAAGCATGGTTTATATTGCCTAATTGCAAGCTTGTTTTAGAAATGGTGACAACATTTTTTTCCATCATTATTGAACATCATTATAGGAGTATTAGGTTGAATGAGTTAGAATTAAATGTTTTATTAATCATTAGAAAATAGTCATTAAGAGAATCAATTGTTATGCAAGTACTTTTACTTTTAATACTTAAAGTACATTTAAAATCAGGTACTTTTTACTTTTTACTTAAGTATGGTCGTCATTGTGTTACTTCTACTTTTACTAAAGTAAATATTTATCTGCTTATTTGTACTTTTACTTAAGTACTGAGATTCAGTACTTCCTCCACCACTGTTGGTCATATATTTCATACCAGTCTCATATAACTATTTTCATACATACTAAATGGATATTTTAAAGTATTATATATAGTGTAAGTATAATTACATTATAATTACACTATAAAATATTGTAAATACATAATATCTCAACTGCTTAATTGATTTTATCAGTGCATATAACTTAAACTGTTATCACCCAGCTAAATACTGTTCATAAAATTGGATATATACTGTAAGTAGTACAACATCTAACTTTATCTGCATATACATACAGTTCACTGACGTAAAGCATAAAATAGGCTATAAATAGGCTATTTAGATAATTTAAGAATAAATATGCTATTAAATAAGGATTTTCTGTAAAGCTGATTTGAAACGTGTATTGTGAAACACTTTTAAAAAAAATACTTGATTTAACTTGGCAAACAAGCAGATTGTGCTACATTGTCTATCTCAATATCTAGTGAGCATACATGCTGAAATTAAAAGGAAACTTTTATTACATTTTCACTCAAATTTAATAGAAAAAGTAAACTATGCATTGACAAAAATCTATGTGCCGCATAAATGTGCCGCAACCAGCAATCAAGAATAGACAGTGAAGTGATATTTTTATAGTATATGTAATGTATTTTGGTGGTGGGATAAATAGATTTACCTTGAGCTTCACAGTCGTGTTTGAACAGCACACCGCACGCAGAGAGGAGGAGAACTACAGCGAGTTTCATGGTGCAGGGCAATCTGAAACAATGACAATCAATACATTAACATCAATGAAAAATAAGCATGCATTGATCCAACGACAAATGTTGCTGTTCATATATTATTAATACACACTCACCTAAAGGATTATAGGTACACCTGTTCAATTTCTCATTAATGCAATTATCTAATCCACCAATCACATGGCAGTTGCTTCAATGCATTTAGGGGTGTGGTCCTGGTCAAGACAATCTCCTGAACTCCAAACTGAATGTCAGAATGGGAAAGAAAGGTGATTTAAGCAATTTTGAGCGTGGCATGGTTGTTGGTGCCAGACGGGCTGGTCTGAGTATTTCACAATCTGCTCAGTTACTGGGATTTTCACCCACAACCATTTCTAGGGTTTACAAAGAATGGTGTGAAAAGGGAAAAACATCCAGTATGCGGCAGTCCTGTGGGCGAAAATGCTAGAGGTCAGAGGAGAATGGGCCGACTGATTCAAGCTGATAGAAGAGCAACTTTGACTGAAATAACCACTCGTTACAACCGAGGTATGCAGCAAAGCATTTGTGAAGCCACAACACACACAACCTTGAGGCGGATGGGCTACAACAGCAGAAGACCCCACAGGGTACCACTCATCTCCACTACAAATAGGAAAAAGAGCCTACAGTTTGCAAGAGTTCACCAAAATTGGACAGTTGAAGACTGGAAAAATGTTGCCTGGTCTGATGAGTCTCGATTTCTGTTGAGACATTCAGATGGTAGAGTCAGAATTTGGTGTAAACAGAATGAGAACATGGATCCATCATGCCTTGTTACCACTGTGCAGGCTGGTGGTGGTGGTGTAATGGTGTGGGGGATGTTTTCTTGGCACACTTTAGGCCCCTTAGTGCCAATTGTGCATCGTTTAAATACCACAGCCTACCTGAGCATTGTTTTTGACCATGTCCATCCCTTTATGGCCACCATGTCCCCATCCTCTGATGGCTACTTCCAGCAGGATAATGCTCCATGTCACAAAGCTCGAATCATTTCAAATTGGTTTCTTGAACATGACAATGAGTTCACTGTACTAAAATGGCCCCCACAGTCACCAGATCTCAACCCAATAGAGCATCTTTGGGATGTGGTGGAACGGGAGCTTCATGAATATGGGCCAATATCCTATCAATATGGGCCAACATTTCTAAAGAATGCTTTCAGCACCTTGTTGAATCAATGCCACGTAGAATTAAGGCAGTTCTGAAGGCGAAAGAGGGTCAAACACAGTATTAGTATGGTGTTCCTAATTATCCTTTAGGTGTAGGCTAAGTAGAAAAAGATGAAGCACTAAAACAAGGGATGTTTGTGTGTTGGCCAACTATAAGAGCCACAACCTCAAACATGAGGCCCAACAGAAGAGAGCGCTTTCCCTCTCCAAACACCAAACTGAGCAACACCTGACCACAGACCAGCCAACACACACGCTTAATAATTCATCTTAAAGCTTAATTATTAAAACCGCTGTGTGAATCTTTTATGGTGGACATTTTCAACAATACTGCACCACTGCTTTGTCTACTTACACAGTTCACAACTTTGCTCTGTTGTGTCTGTTTGTTACTCTTGAGTCTATGTGGGCTTTAAGCAGTGCTTTTTAAGATCAACGAGCAATGGATAATTGTTCGGTGGTTTCATTGTATAATATTAAAGGGTTATCTAAACACCCATATTGCACTGGGCATGTTGTCTGGTGTCATCCAAGGCCACTCCCGCCAGGCTGCCATGGATACGCTTGACCAGAGTCAAATACTTTAGTAGGAAATACTTCTGAGCAAACTTTTAGTCATAATGGTGTTGACTTGTATTGTTCCCGGGATCAAGAATTCAAAGATTAATGGTAGTTAGTGTGTCGTCAGCAGCGGCTAAAGGCTGCAATCCCTTAGTAACAATGTTTTTTTTGAGTGGACTTATTACCATTTGTATAACCACAGTTTTACTACAATTTTTTGGTTATTTTTGGACCAAAATGTATTTTCGATGCTTCAAAGCATCATAACTAACCCACTGATGTCACATGGACTACTTTGATGATGTCTTTATTTCCTTTCTGGACAAGGACAGTATACCGTACACACATGTTCATTGGAGGGACAGAAAGCTCTCGGACTAAATGTGCAAGTGCTCTCAGAAAGCCAAGAGCCCGTGGCTGGATTCTTCTCCATCTTTAGATGTGCAACTCTCTGCACCGATATTGTTGTTTCCCGTTGTAGATTAATGGAGCGCTCTCACAACCACTAATGGGAATGAATTTGGGAAATGCTTTGAATGTGAAAGCTGAGAATAGGCCCGTGTCCGTGATAGGAGGCTCTCCAACATGTCACAATAGGAAGCCTCCATCTATAGTCCTCGATGCTGCGGATTCCAGTCAATTATCGCTTATGCTTCTGGCCGGCCTCGTGTGCAGACACCTGGCAGTGAAAGCAAGCTGTATCTGAACATGACTTTATTCCCCGAGCAGCTCTCTCCGTCAAGGTGGAAGGTGCTATTTCCAGCCGAGTTTAATTAATATGTGTCACATCACATGTAAAAAAATACAGTCAGAAGCCTTTTGTGCCATTTGACACATTGCCCATTATCCTAGACTCTGGGGATATTGTCATCAATTTTAAGGTCCATCTTTCACAAATTATCAAAATGTAATGAATCATCCAGAGCAATTCATTATAAATGATATAGGTTTAGATGTAGCCTACAACTAAAGGCCCTTTCACACTGAACATGACGTGATGTGAAGAAGCAAGATGAATTATCCCCTCATAATAAGAACATATTCGGAGAAACATTTGAATTTCACCAATTAACTTCTACAAGGATGTGATTTGGCTTGTGTTTGAACTTAAGTTAACAGCAATGACACTGGTATATAAAGTGAGGTAAATGCATGAAGTGCATTGGTATTAGTTAGCATATTTAATGATCGCGTGTTTGCATAATATTCAATTTTTAGGAATATTGGATATAAAGCTCTTATTAACCTTTTGACAGCATTTGTCATTAACAGGAACATCTACTAAAATAACATCTATTAAATAAACAAAGGCATCTGACTACAAGCGAGGTGTGAGCAGTGTGTTCCTCTGATAAGAAGGTGTTTTCTCTCTGATTGATGTTAATTATAGCAATAAGCCACATGTGGCCTTGAGTCACTATGATTAAAGTAAGTAAGTAAGTAAGTAAGTACGTGATGTTCTTCAACATGGTGCACAATGCAAAACTGCATTTAAAATGGAATAAAATAAAATAATCGGCCACTATTTACTCTCATTCCCTCTTTTAGCACCACTTTTAGCATAGCTTAGCATACATCATTGAAGTGGACAAGACCATTAGCATTTCTCTGAAAAAATGACCAAAGTGTTTCGATATTTTTCCTATTTAAAAAAATATGGACAAAGCGTTTGTGACATCACCCATAGACTTTCTGAAGAACAGTTTTGAGGCTGTTTGTGGGGGGTAAGGGCGGCGCCATCTTGGAAAATCTTGGCAAATACAAACTACAAATGTTCAGAAAGGATACAGAGGTGGTATGATGTGTTGTGTCAGATCATGGCCGAGACGTCAAATTCCACTCGGCGCAGCCCGTTATCAGCTGTCAATCAAAGTTAACCGCCCTTATTTGTCATACTTTTTATATCTAAATACGATCTAAACTAACGAGTTAGAAAGAAATGTACCCCCCTCACAGTCGTCAGGCACTTCGAACCTATCCAAAAATACAATAAAAGTCCATGGGACCAATAAAAGTTCTGGGACCGGCCTCTAGCGGATTTTCGGACTTCCGGGTAGGCTTCATTTTTCAGATTACAATGTTGCCGCTTGGTTGTAACCTAACACAACATCAAATTTTAAGTAAATGGCATGCTATTGGAAATGATAATAATATGGAGAATGAGACCCGAGACCTGCAGGGAGGGTCTGATCCGGTCTACATTTTGGTCTGTTGTCACACTCTAAACAATGCTGGGTTGTTTGAACCCAAAAATTTGGGTAAAATACGGACAAAGCCAAATTTACAATTATAACCCAACTTCAACTTTCACTTTCAACTGTAAATTTTTTACTTGCATTTTTAACCCAACATTTGGGTTTGTCCATATTTGACCCAAACCCAGCATTTATTAGAGTGCAGACATGGTCACAATAAATGTTTGTTGAATAGAAAGAAACTCAGATTCGTCAGAATTTCTCCTTCAGTGTTTAATGGAAATAATAACGGCATACACGTTTGGCATGACGTGGGCTGAGTAAATAATTGCGGAAATTTATTTTGAGTCAACTATTCCTTTATATTTACTATCGCTAATAATCAGAATAAACAATTCTTCTTCCAAGTATTTTAACCGTAGGCTGTTTACTGTTGCCAAGCAAGCAACATAAGAAATGAGTTTAATATTGAATGTGGGCTTACAGGTGTGAATTTAAAGGGATAGGTAACCCAAAAATAAAAATGTAGTCATTAATTACTCACCCCCATGCTGTAGCAACCCCGTAAGACCTTCGTTCATCTTCAGAACACAAATGAAGATATTTTTGATTAAATTTGAGAGCTGGATCACTGCTACATAGGCTCCTAAGGGATTGAAACTTGATGGCCCAGAAAGTCTTTGGAGAAAATGTGACTACAGTGGCTCAACTATAAGTTTATCAAGCGACAAGAACACTTTTTGTGCAAAAAAACAACAACAAAAATAACGACTTTATTCGACTATTCCTTTTCTTCCTTGTAGGCCTGAGACAAGAGTTCAAGAGATTTCCACGACGCATGCGCGAGAACTGAGAAGAGGACATTCTTGGAGGTTCAACGGGGTCTTACGGCGTTGGTAAAGCATGGGGGTGAGTAATTTATGTCTTAATTTTCATTTTTGGGTGAACTATCCCTTTAACAGCATTTTATACTGTGGCTCATAAAGTCATAAATTAGTCAACTGTATCGTCCTGATTTTGCCGAGTTAATCAGAGGGAAATGACAGGTGAATAACACTGATGTAGAAGCACCAAACCCTGGTTATAAGACTAAACTTGACATGAACTGTAAACTCGCCCCTTAAAGGGATACTCCACTTTTTTTAGAAATGGCCTCATTTCACCACTCCCCCAGAGTTAAACAGTTGGGTTTTACCATTTTCAAATCCATTCAGCCGATTTTCTAATATTTAGAAGAATATCAGTAACCAGACAGTTTCTGGTCTCATTGACTTCCATAGTAGGAAAAAAAGTATATTATGGAAGTCAATGAGACCAGAAACTGTTTGGTTACTGATATTCTTCTAAATATCAGAAAATCGGCTGAATACATTCGAAACCCAACTGTTTAACTCTGGGGGAGTTGTAAAATGAGCCTATATCCCCCAAAAAATGGAGTATCCCTTTTAAATCTGATTGGCTGATTGGACCTAATGTTGCTCCAGGATCAACAAAGATGTTGATCCAGAAATATGTTGCACTTGGTGAAATCAGGTTGTGTGTCTCCAACAGGTCTTTTCCTCCGAGGAACGCACACACATTTTCCTGGAGTGAAACTATGGCAACGCTATTAAAAATAAAGGTGCCATCTGTGGTTCAATGAAGAAACTTTAACATCCATGGAAACTGCATTACACAAAAGGTTATTTTTCATAATATTTTCATTAAAATGTTCATTACTCATTTTTCTATGGCATCGCTGCGAAAACAACCCTTCGGATCCGTTATTTCAAAAAGTGAAAGGATACTGTACATTAATAAAACACATTTTAGAGTTGTCCTTCTAGATTTTGTGCATACTACTTTGAAAAAAAAAGGACAAAACACACTTACATACAAAATACACACAAAAATCTCTCTCTTTTTTATGAGTCTCTCTCAGTAATCTGAGCAAGTGTACTTTAAAACTCATTATTTACTAGGAAGCTGCTATGGAAACTTAACAGGCACGTGGTTCCTTCCTTTAACCAGCATCAGCCTGAGAATAACAGCCCATTCCTACACCGTTTCCATCTCGTGATGTGCTTGCCCTTGTCTAAACAGTCCAGTTATAATTCACAACTTTAAGTGCCTGAGCTCCTGAAGCCTTTTACAGAAATACCTCCTTAAATTACAACTCAAGGATATTCATTTTTAAAAAGTTCTTTCATTTACATTTACCCAGATCTTTCATTTACTCTATTTATTTAATGATTAAAAAACGAGAGAGAGAGAGAAACACACTTACTGGCAAATAGCCCGTCACACACCTGAGCTGTTGGTGGCCCTCCAGCCGAGTAAGTGCAAACCTCAGGTGCTGATGAAACTGGACTCACATATCACACGCACACCTTGAGGAAGTCATGGAAAAGCAAATCGTGTACATGCACACCCTACGAGATCTGCCCGCTAGTGAGTGAGTTTTGTTGATAGAAATGCTTGTTTAGAAGCAGACAAGGTTCCACCTCCCCGCTCAACAAGCCTCTTAAAGAGACAGGCTCCCCCGTAATCTCACGCAACAACACATCACGCTTGAGGGATTCAGAGATGTACACTGTAGACACCACATGTTATCCCGTCTCGCTTTTGTTCAACCCCCCAGCCTCTTGAGGTATTTTAAGTTTCACGGACGCATGACAAGTCTTGTTGTTTGGATGCATGTAAACATTCTTCTGCACACTGATAGAGAGGAGACTGTGCACTTCAGAAAGTCGTTCTTGGTAATGCAAGGCTTTTTAGCTGTTGCTGTAGCGACAGACAAGACTCCTGATGTTGGGGGCTGATGTGCCCACACGTTCCTCTGCAGGCGGCGGTGTGGAGAGGATCGGTTTTCAGCAGATTATCTTTAACAATATCAGGCCTGTGGAGCATTTGGAAACAGGCATCTACATGTCCACACTACTGTGATGGGAGACACACGCACGCACGCACCTATATATGCACACACACACACTCACCGCACTAATATATTACTATAAATGAGGGCGTATGTACAGGCAGACATGTGGCGACTGTCTCACTACTATTGAAAGCAAAATGGTAGACGGGTTTATCGGGCTCCTGAGGGCTTATCCTGATGGTCTGTGAGGAACAGATGAATAGGAAAGCACTTAAAGCTCATTTGTTTTGGTTGCTCGTCGTCTTGTGTTTATATTGAGATAATGGCATGATTACGGCCATTCAGCTTCTGGGTTTAAGCACACATTTGTACGTCTGTCCTGCTGTGGCCTCATTATGTTTGTGCTCAAAATGGCAGTGCAATTATTAGGATGATTTCACATTGTTTAAGCGCGTGATCTTACGCTTTTAAAAATAAAGGATTGTTTTGCAGCGATGCCATAGAATGATTTTCTTGAAATTTTCCACCATGAAAAACCTTCTGCAATGGAAAGACTCTAATATATATATTATATATGAAGAGTTCAGATGCAAAAGCCTCTAAGTGCCATTTGAAATTTTCTTCTAGAATGATCATTTTTATCAAGCTTGCATATTTAAATTCAATGATTTCACTTAAATGGCAATGATAATCACCTATTAATTGTTATTTAAGTGAAATTACTGAACTTAAATATACAAGTTTGATAAAAATCATCATTAAAGAAGAAAATTTCAAATGGCATTTAGAGGCTTTTGCATCTGAACTCTTCATATATATGCAAAGAGTGTAAAAATACACTTAAAAATAAAGGTTTTTTATTGGCATCTATGATTACATAAAGAAACCTTAACATTTATTGAACATTTTCATTGCACAAAAGTGCGCCCTCAGAGTACTTAGAGTTAGCTGTGGTTACAAGAGGTAAAAACTATATAACTACTCGTTTTCGTTTTCTCACACAAACTGCTCGTTTCGTGTCTTAGGCCATCAATGTATACTTACATTTACGAGTCATTAAATCATCTTTAATTTGGACTTCTCTGTGCATGCTCTTTGAGGTGGTGACCATAGACCTCCATTATATGACTGACAGACGACAACGGTTTGACCTAAAAATATCAAAATTGAAAATACTGCGGAAACAAAGACACCTACATCTCGGATGACCTTGAGGTAAGCTGAAACATACCAAAAATTAATTTCAAAGTGAACTATACCTTTAATGCAAGACAGTTCAGGTGAATAGGGTACAAAAAAAAACAATAATATCTGCATTCTCCCCCAGTTCATTGATTACATTAAGAATTGCAAAAAAAAAATTTGTATTTCAAGAATTCGGAAATGTTATGTTTAAATATGTAAAATAGGCATAATCTAATTCAAAATGCTAGTTTTTTTTATACAAGAGTCAGGTTTTTACAAAGGGGATTATGTCTCCATAAAACAGCCAGAAAGTATTTTTTTAGGAATAAAATGTTGTAATAAAATCATGCAAATTACATATGAACAAACCCTTCTGTAACAACCTTAAGAATATAGATAGAAATAAAACTGTAAATGTAAAAATCATTTTGAGAAAATGGCCTTTAAAAGATACTGCAATTAAAATGTAAAGACACAAAACAGACTCTTAAGAGTGTATTTTAGATGTGTTTTTTCCATTAGTCTGAAAGCCTTATGAAAAGCTTTCACCATGTTAATTTCTAAATATGAATATATATCAGTAATACCATTTAGAAAAGAACAGTTGAAGTTTTCAGGCCTTTATATTTCTCAGAACGGCTTCTCCTGATTTGTGCTCTTGTTGTTGTTCTGAATTTTCCACGTCACGTGTCATGTTCTCATCTTACTGTAAAACGTCCATTTACAAGGAAGAAACACACCTCCACTCCCTCCCCATCCATCCCCCAAATAAAGTACTTCAGAAATGCAAGCTGAACTTTTTCCTAGCTAGGGGAAAGCTTTTTCCAGAGTAATCCTATCACTGCTTAGATGGGGACTTTGATAGTCACAGTATTTGTTTCACATAAGAGCAAAGAACGTAAATATCTACAGTTGCTCAACAATTCACATCCGCTTTTTCTAGTCAATTGATTTCTCACAATAACAGTAAGAATTCAATCCATCACGAATGCACCGGTTTGTTGAAACTACAACAATGTGCCTTAGAAATTTGTATTTCGATGTGTTTGTGCGAACAAACAACTACACTGAATCTCATTCTCTGACTCATACGCGAGGAAGGCATGAATAGAGAAGCTAAGTGTGTGTTTAATGGTCAGAGCTTAAAGCAGAGCAGCTTGGATGATGGATACATTTGTCTTTCCGAGAAAATGGACTAACACGCTGAGCCAATGTACAAATGCTACACCTTTGATATCTGTGCTTTTCGTATGAAGATTGGATCCACTTTAAAATACTATGAAGTGGGGGATAAAAGCATCTTCAAAGGACCATGTTAGATGGGCTTTAAATAACTCGTCCCTTTTACACAGCATCCACCATAGACCACTCACATTTCAAGCAAAGTGGATGAATATAACGGTTTAATACTGGTTTGTGTGTCCGTGGTTGGTCACTGTTACTATAGCAACAGAGAGACGGACGATGCCTTCTGTATGAAGACAGCAGAGTGAGATTAACTAGTGCAATATTGCTTGCTGGACCTCTTTCCTATTATTTCCAACATATCCATCTGTCTATCTATCTGTCTGCACTTGAACCATCACTGAAATTAAAGGATTAGTTCACTTTTAAAAAAAACTTTTGCTGATAATTTACTCACCCCCATGTCATCCAAGATGTCCATGTCTTTCTTTCTTCAGTCGAAAAGAAATGAAGGTTTTTGATGAAAACATTCCAGGATTTTTCTCCATATAATGGACTTCAATGGGAACCAAACGGTTCAAGGTCCAAAAGACAGTTTCAGTGCAAACTGTTCAATGTGCTTTAAACGATTCCAGACGATGAATAAGTGTCTTATCAAGCGAAACGATCACTCATTTAAAAATGAACGAATCTTTTCCTGAGTCAACTCGTTCATTTTGTTCGTTGAATGAACCAAATGACACGAAAAAAGATTTGTTCATTTTGATAAATGAGTTCGAAGAGGAGAGTCACGAACGCGCATCACAGAACAGAGCAAGGCGAGCATTTGAGCTTATAAAACGTAAACTTTTTTTTTTTTTTAAACGAGTGATTGTTTCGCTTGATAAGACCCTTATTTATCGTCTGGAATCGTTTAAAGCACTTGGCTTCATTAAAGCACTTGAATTCACTGTGAATTCATCAAAATGAACCAATCTTTAGCTGAGTCAACTCGTTCATTTCGTTCATTGAATGAACCAAATGACATGAAAAAAGATTCGTTCATTTTGATAAACGAGTTCGAACAGGAGAGTCACGATGGCTCTTCACAGAACAGAGCAAGGCGACCATTTGTGCTTGTAAAACTTAAACTTTTTTTTTTTTTTTTTAAATGAGTGATCGTTTCGCTTGATAAGACCCTTATTCATCGTCTGCAATCGTTTAAAGCCCTTTGAACAGTTTGCACAGAAACTGTCATTTGGACCTTGAACCGTTTGGTTCCCACTGAAGTCCATTATAAGGAGAAAAATCCTGGAATGTTTTCATCAAAAACCTTAATTTCTTTTCGACTGAAGAAAGAAAGAAATGGACATCTTGGATGACATGGGGGTGAGTAAATTATCAGCAAACATTTTTTTTTAAAGTGAACTGCTCCTTTAAGCTGACACTATTTTCTTCTAGACATCTGTATTGTAAAAAGCTCTAAAGGTGACTTGGCTTGTGTTTGATCAGGCTTTGCTTTTGCTCTTATGCTAGACAGCTCTGCAAGTGCCAGAGAAAGTAGATTATGGAGTCAGAGTTTTATTAGGAAGTGATGGTATTTATGAACTCTATTTACAACCCAGTGATGTTTCCCACGCCATATGGCCCAGTAATATATATGCCTGCAAATTAGATCCTTACAGTGAGTTGCGAGTGAGCAATACAAAGCCACATGTGAAAAACAAACTAAAAACTTTCACTGTGACTGACATTTGACTTTAATTCTTCTGAACCCACAATCACAAACAAAATGGAATCAAGAATGCCAAAAAGGTACACGTTTAAGATTGAACAAGCCTCAGTAATGCCTAAATAATATCTTAGAGTAATAACAATAATAAACACTCCCAAATAAATGTTGTTCACCTACCCTGAGCCTGGTGCTTCTTCTTATGCTAAGATCCAGTGTTGATCTTTTCTGGCTGGCGGTGAGACTTGTCCCCCTGTCCTCATCTAGTGTATGCTGGGCGTCTGTCTTTGAAGTTATTTCGACATGTGTCTAAGTTGCAGACAGCATGAAGAAGAGGCTGCTTGACCTTCCCTTCACCCTAAACCTCCCTCTCGGATGGGGAACAAGGCGGCGCACGCGTCCACGCACTTCACAGCCTCTCACCCGACTCACCCCATGAGAGTTACATGACAATTTGAAAGATAAGGTCCTTAATCCTCGTTGTAGATGTAGAGACGTCATGCACATCCTTCCTTGTCATCTTGCACAGGTCAAATTCAATCTATCCTGGTTGTTTCCAGACAAATTTAATGTTATTCCTGAAGTCCGTATGTTGAAAAATCGATTTTCCGCTGTACGGGTGCTGTAGTTGTTTTATAGCAGCCAGAGTCCAACTCAATCTTCTACAGTCCCTTGGCAATGCAAGGTATTTCCAGCACCGGCTTCGTGGCAAAGTGTTCAAAGACTCAATTTATGAAATTGAAGTGATCTTGGCAATTCATTTAGATCTTGTGAAGCGAGAGCAGTCCACTGTGAGAGCTAAACTGGTTCCCTGGTCTTGACATACGGGATCATCTTTTATGATGAAGACCCAAGGCCTCAGAGCCCTCATAATCCGCTTGACATCTG